CTTCTCTTAAAATTCAAAAACCCGGAAATTTCAAAATAGTCCAGCGAACTCCAGTGAACTTAAGGAAACATCATAAATATTTTGGAAACTTCATAAGTCCAAAGAACTTCAGGGAAATTTGGTGGTTTTCAGGAACTTTAGTGTTTCAGAGAACATCAGGGCAGATCAATTAATTTCAATGAAATTGCTGAAATTATAAAGGAGCTCCGAGAAACTCAGGCAATTTCCGAAAACTTCAGCAATGTTCATGCAAATTTAAGAAACGTAAGGGAAGTTACATGAACATTAGATCATTGTGAGAACATTTTATGGGGAGTTCTATGCTTTTTAATGACAGTGTCGATAACTTTTAAAAATTAAAAAATCAGGAAGATCAGAGAACTTCAATGCTGATGTTACAATAAATTCATGAAAATTGTGAGAGCACTTAAGAGATTTCCTAATCTCCAAGAAAGTCCAGAGACCTTCTAAGATGATTAGAGATATTCCGGTAGTCTAATTATAATCAGGGAAGTTTTGAGCGCTTCGTGGATGCCCAGAGAGGAAAATTTTCTGGATCATTAGTACATCCCCCAGGAGTCTCTTTCATTCGGAATTAAGTCCTTGTTTATTACGACTGTTCCGTAAGCGTTCTGGCTTCCGACTTTCTTCAGATGTTTCTTCCAATTTACCTTAGGAAGTTTCTGCCAGCGTCTCCAGAAAGTTTCTTTCGCCTTCTCCAGGAAGTTCAATTAATTCTCCCAGAAATTTCTTTGGTCTTCTTCTGGAAGTTTGACCATAAGCCAAAGGTTTTTTTTATTCGACTTCTATTGGAAGGTTTTTCCGAGCTTCTTCTGGCATTCCCTGGAAATGGCTACTTCTGGAAATTTACTTTCGGTTTCCGAAACTTTTCTGGGTTCCTTTGGAAGTGATATCCGATTTTTTTCCGATAGTTTATTTTAATTTTCGCCACAAGTTTCTAAGTTCGTGTCTTGGAAGTTTTCCGCAGGTTTTCCCAGCTTTTCTCGAACTTCATCCAGGAGAGCTTCATTTGTCTTTCTCTGGATGTTTTTTCAGCTCCTTTCAGAAGCTAATTCAAACATTCCCCGGGGTTTTCATTCGGAATTTCCCGATCATAGTTCAAAAGCTAAAATGTTGCTTTGATTAACAGCTGTCTCAGTCTTAAAACACTGCACGACTACGATGTAATCTGCCCTAAAGAGCCTGAATTTATTTAAATTAGGCTCTTTAATCAGTCCGACATTTCGGCCATAGGTTGTGGCTTTTTTAAAGGGAAAATATTGTTTTTCGTTATTGTCAATGGTTTAGTCGTTTTCCAATATTTGATTTGATTTAATGATATTTAATTGAAGAAAAAAAACTACTTGGTCACAATTTTGATCACCACTTGAGAACAACGATAATTTTAAAAATTAAATAAAAAAAAAATAAAAAAGTGCTTTAAGACTGAGAAAGCCGTCATACAAAGCAATTCCTTTCAAATCCCAGTCGTCACCATCGTTAAAATTTTCGCTTTCAAAAACGGCTATAATATAAAATTAAATAAATAGTAAATACCGATAAATACCGATAAATACCGATTTTTTAATATCCTTGATACCGATAATCTTTAAAAAAAAATCTGGCAACGCTGTAGCAACCCGCGCTGCTATCACGCTGCTAAATTTGGTAGCGCGCTTCTCACCGAGAAGCCGACTGCTATTTTAGTTACTCGTATGGCAACCCCCGATACGGTAGCTGCGCTATGATGAGGGCTGCTAAAATGAGTTTAGCAGCGTACCGTTACGGTTGCTCTAAGGGGTACGCTAGGAAATTGGAGCCTGAAGAGTTAGCTGAAACAGCTAACACCTGGTACCTGCCTCATTTTAGTTCGGTGGGTTCCAAGAAGTTTCGTTTGGTCATGGATGCCAAAACAAAGTCACACGGGTTTTCTTTAACGATCTGCTACTGAAGGGTCCTGATTTCGTTCCGGCACTGATAGCAATCCTGATCCGAGCCGGAATGAAGAAAATTGCTTTCGTCGCGGACATCATGGAAATGTTTTATCATATCCTTATCCGTAGAGAAGATCAAGATTCCCAACGTTTCCTGTGGCGTGGTATGAACCGCACAGATCTGATGGGGATGGCGGCGCTGTTTCTTTCCCATCGATGGCACAATTCATCAAGAACTTCAACGCGAAAGAGCTGTGGATTGTGATTCAAGGGAGGACCTGCAGCAAATCCCACCTGAAACCGCTTTCAAACTAGTTGAAGATAGCCGTGGCTGCATAGCAAAAGCATCCAACACCGAGAACAAGCGTGTGAAGCACATTGATGTCAAACACCACTATCTACGGGACCATGTGGCAAACGGAAACATCCATCTGGAAGCTATAAGAATAGCAGACCTGCTAGCGGACACGTTCACCAAAGCTTCATAAAATTCATTACGATCATCTGCGTTTTTGAATTTTGAACAGTTATCTAGTGATTTTTTTTTTATTAATTGACAAATTATGTATCTTGACGAAGTTATCTCTCACGGATTATGTTTTATTGTAGCACTCCAAAAATATTTTGTTCGCCAGTAGTAGGAAAAGTTGACCAAATTTTGTTGATGGTATACTGGATTCAGTCCTAAAGGATTCCCTTCTGCGATTACGAATAGGGGAAGTGTACCAGTTATGGCACTAGTGGCCCTCTAATAGGCCATATGGTCTAAAACCTCAATGTTTATTAATAATCTGATAATCTATTTCACATGATGTTAGTCTCAATGCTGTTCTCTATAACTACGTCAAGCTTCATCAGCAATTTAGGCACTCTAACAATCTCACGCTAGCGAATCAATCTAGGAATAGTCTTCTGCCATTTCTAGCTTCTAAATCCATCTACTATCATCGTGCTCCACATCCTTTTGCAGAAAATCTTCATCAGTCGTCTTTCTATCTACGCGCACATCTCACGACAGCAAATCAAAATCTTCCTTCCTAGCTAGAGTCGTCTCTTTTGGACTTGGTCCTTAGTAATATTGTGGAATTAACCTTGCGAGTGCTGCTGCCATTATATCATGCTTTTTTGTGGGATCTGGATTTTCTGCAATGTTGCAAATCAAACCAAAAGAGTTTACCACACTAGACGTCGAAGATTGGCTTTATCGCAAAACCTGGTAGACCAGTCGAAAAGTGATTTCGAAGAGAAACGGTGCTACCGTAGTGGCCAACCCCTTGAAACGAGATCCAACTCTCGATGCTGCCAAAACATATGTAGGCTACAATCGCAGCTGACAAACAATAATATCTGTTCTTATAACAACCAATCTTATTAATCTGCAATGATCGTTTAAAAATTAATTAAGTTGTTTAAGATTTGATGAGATCACATTTTGCATTTATCGCGCTTTAGAACATTAAAAAAAAAACACAGATTTCATTTAGGAAACTCTGGTAGTTAGGTGCATCAGTTCTTCTTCGACGATTCTCATCCAAATGTTGAACTTCTTCAGTGCGTCAGTGGCAAGCTTGACTGCTTCCTATTCCAAAGAGTTTTCAGATGGAGAATTTGTTTTTGATTGAGTTCCAACCTGAATCGGGTATCAAGATTGGGTCTGCTTGTTGCCTTTCAAACGTCAGTGTTGTTAACGTTTGTCTTTGTAACCTATCTCGGGTTGAGGTTTTACCGGTGCACTTGCAGTGCATGTACACAATCTTTTCGTAGCTCCACATTCCAATTGCTATCGAATGATAAAATCAAACTCCACTGCTATTTGCTACGCATAGATTTGTGTTATATATCCATTTGAAATCCATCGCAGCAGTCTGAAGGTGATTGCGATACGTCTTCGCCAGACCCAGATTTTAATAAAGCCCAAAAATCATAGGTTGCTCAGTTTTTAAGGATTTAGAAGCGAAGCTTTCACTGCTTGAATATTTTCTTGGTACATATTGGTATTTTATACGTACCCTAATAAAAAAAAAATCACATAAATGAACTATAACCCAAATGATAGAAATATTCAATAAATGGTTAGGATGATTTCCCGAGCAAAAGTTAAGCAAAATGATTATACAAATTGTATTACGGTTGACTGATCTCCAAACAATCTGATGTGACCGCTTCAAATCATCTGGAACAGATTCCACCATGACCAAATTCCAGCACAAACCTGGTTCATTTGTCCCTACACAGCCAAACATTCTGAATTTAAATTGCGATGTTAAAATTCATTCACCTAAACTTATATTACATTTCTTTAGGCTTTCAGCTTCAATTTTATTATATTTTTACCGCTGAGAAAAAGCAATCTAGCAGGGTTTTCTTGAAATGAAACACACGTACTGTAAAATGCTGCTGATTGCGAGTTGCCGATGAAAGCACAGCTGTTTAACAAGCAGCTCAAATAGCAAGGTTACCGAATAAAAAGATGCTACCCACTATAGTCGCTCTCACTAGAGAAGATTGGAGCTTTGTAAAAGCGTTTCAAAACAGTGTTGGACAATTCTTTCGACTGAAATTGTTAGGGCAGCTGGCAGCAAAAGATTGTACTGATACTGCATATGTGTGCGTTCCTTGGAGAAAAAGGCTGTAGAAAGATGGTCGCTGCTTAGGTTGCCGAGAATACGTAAAGTCCACTACAAGTTTATGTGAATTAAAAACATTTAAATTCAGATTTTTTTGCTGTGTAGTTTATGAATTCTATTTTGATTTAAGGTGTCACATTAAGGGTCTTAGTTGAAGAAAGAAATTGGACACTTCCCCGAGGGTATCTAGAACATGTTCAGATGTGGCCAATGTGATCTTGGGCACACAATATGGCTATCATTGATCTTGTTTTAAATTACTCATGTGGTTGACCGATTCCAAAAATATTCAATATCGTTCAATGGGACCTTTATATCTAAATGGCGGTTGTTTTGTCCAATTCAGTCCAGTGGTTGCTGAGAAACACGGCTAACTTTATTTCGTCACAAACACACAAACAGAAATTTTCCGATCTCGTCAAGCTGAGTCGATTGGTATATGACGCTTGACCCCCAGCTGGGAGGTATTTCAGAGGTACATGAATCCACCCAATTACCTCCAACTCCGACCAAGCGGATGTTGAAGAAGACTAGCCAGGTAATTCGGGATGATGCACGGTTGATCAGATTTTGGCACAAACTGGCCGCTGAGCTGAGGCATGTTGAGGTTGACCGGTAGAGTCTGCAAAATATAATGGTGAGAATTTCAAAAACCAATGGAATAATTTTACTATACTTTGATACGGAAGTTCTATAAAATTGCTACAATTCAACTACAACTACAACTACTACAACATTTTTTATTTGTCGTAACAATCCAAGGGGTGGTCACTCTAAACACTTATTTTGCGATAACATTTTTCTGAGTGAACCTCAAGTGTGCTGCGCTGTGCCAAGAGTGCCATGTCATCAGACTGATTTTTTTGTGTGTGAATAATTATATGTTTGGCAACCCGGTATTTTGACAATTCAAATGTTTTTTTTTTTATATCAAACTGTACGAGCTGTCGAAGACAATGGTCACGTCAACGCCAGATCAACAGAATGGGCAGCCCATCAAGAATACTCTGATCGACCCAGTTGCGTCTCCCGTATATCGCAGTGCGATGAAGATTTGATCCACGGAGAGTACAGCAAACATTACACGCTGGTGAGGAACATTGGGAATGCACTCAATGAACATTCTGCATCGGAACATCAACTTCATTTCCATATCAAGCTGATTAACTGAGGAGTCGCCGAGCTTGATATGGAAAAGGTGATCGTACAGGAAGGGCAACTTTTTTCTACCTTCTATGGCACGAACGAGTACTGCAGTCCGGAAGTGTTGGTAGGCAACCACTACTCCTGCCCAGAACTGGAAATGTGGGCTCTCTATGTGACACTGTACGTGTTGTTGCAAATATCTGCTCCAGCCAGACGGGACTGTCCACGTCGCCGCACAGCCTTTCCATATTGGATGATGTCAATTGTGAAGATGAGGATGAGCATTAGACTGGTGCAAAATTGGACATTTTCGCTCCACAGTGCTCAAACGGTTCCAAATCTAGTCCTGATTTTTCCCAAAATTTGAACACATTTGGTATGACACTGACATGGCACAAATCATTTAAAATTTGTATGGAAATTACTAAGGGTAAACCATATTTTTTGTTCATATTCATCTAACCATTTACCATATCGCTTCGCTTGAAAAAAAAATGAAAACTGTGCTCGTAGGAAATTTTCTCAGCTACAAATTTGTTAAAGACTTCTTTTCAATAGAATGTAAGCATCAAAAGTTATTAATTATTCAAGCCACTGATGTCTTATAATTATGCTCAATAACCTGTTCTGCAGGCAACATTGGTGTTTGTGGCGCGTAGAATATAGCACAAAAATCATGGCTACTATGTCACGCTGCAGAATACAGTGTTGCCCACAAAACAGCTGCTTGATCATGCCATAATGTTATCTATCTCTTAAACAACTAATAACTTTCAAAGTGTTTTTATGTTACTTCATACGCGAAGTTAGCGTTTTCAGAGTTGGTTGGAAATGCTAACATGAAGCTTTAGTGTGATAATTGATTAGCTATAGAATGATCTTTAGAAGAGTGTAGGTGGATAGTTCCGTTAGAGTACAGTTTGCGACAGTTTTTGAAGTTAGACGCACATCTTTTGCCTGTAGACTTGAAGACATACTTCAAGTCTCCGCGTACATCGTACGGGTTAGGCAAAAGATGTGCGTCTAACTTCAAAAACTGTCGCAAACTGTACACTAACGGAACTATCCACCTACACTCTTCTAAAGATCATTCTATAGCTAATAATTTATCACACTAAAGCTTCATGTTAGCATTTCCAACCAACTCTGAAAACTAATAACTATTTGAAAAGTCGTTTGGCTGAAAAACGATCTTGCGCAAAGATGTAGCTGAGAAAATTGAACAACATAAGAATAGCTATAGAACGTTTAAACAGTGCAATATGGAAAAAGACTAAAAGACATTTAACAAAAAGTGGGGTTTCCTAAAGTAATTTCCATATAAACTTCAAATAGTTTGTGCCAGCTCAGTTTCTTACCAAATGAGCTCAAATTTTGGAAGGCTAATCAGGACCCGATTTGGAACCGTTTGAGCACTGTGGAGCGAAAATCTTAAATTTTTCATCAGTCTAATGAGCATTTACAATGACGAATAAGTCAGTAAATTTATTTAAAAAAAGATTTCTGCTATTTAATTAATACATTTTTGGTATTGAGGTTAAAATGTCTAGTGGCGGAGTAGCAGTGATTCTATTTTAATCAATCCTGAACTAGTCCAGGTTGAGCGTTAAATGCTTCCTGGTGATTCGGACGGTTGGTAGTTCTGTTGGTGTGCCGGATAGCATATCTATGTCTGGAGCTCTACAACAGGCAATGTTAGTTAATGTTTTTACTTCAAAAGCCGTGAAACATCTGGAAGTCAATACATAAGTGCATAAACTTCCCAATTCCATGGCAGTTTCTGCACACCTGCGTTGGCTTTCAAAGATTCATATTAAATCCACCCGGTTGTCTTCGTAATGTCGGCATCTTCCGTCGCTCCAGTTTTTTTTTTTTTTTTTTTTTGGGATTTTAACCACTGCGACCAATAAGCTGATCTATTGTGGTATACCCCTGTTTAGTATCGCATCTGTTCAGGACGACGAGTTACCATTTAGGATAACTGCCGTTGTTGCCTGAAAATGCGGAGTTCCCCAATCTGGTATGATTCTTAGAATGAATTCAACCACAATTTTGGGGTTTTTCAACCAAATCTCAGAAGGACTTAGTATGCTTTTGATGAAATATTGTCTTCTGCACACGAATAGTGCCGAACATTCGCAGAGCAAATGTTGAGAGGTCTTTGTCTCACAATCACAAAACCTACAGATATCTGTTTGACTTTGATTTATCTTTTTCAAATGATATCTAACGGGACAGTGTTCCGTAAGTAGCCCAATAAGTATGTTTAATGTTTTTTTTATTTAAATTTAGTATTTTTTTCCGTGATTCCTTTGTTTGGAGTAATAAACAATTTGGATTGCCTTTTAGTATTCGTAGCAGCCCAATTTGACTGTATCATATTGCCTTCTCATTTTTTCATTTCCATTTGTATGACACATTTAGATACCCCACAGAAAGGTTCTGGTCCTATAAATTGGACACTTGAGCCTTGTCTAGCGAGTAAATCGGCTTTTTCGTTTCCTTCGATTCCGCAATGGCCTGGTACCCAGTACAGATAGACCTGGTTTTTGACTGCCGTTGCTTCAGAAGTAGTATGCATTCCCACACCAGTTTTTATTGGCATGTGAAAGATTGTACATTCAATGCTGCCTGGCTATCTGAAAATATGCAGATTCGCGTGTGTCGATAATTCATTTATGAACAAATATCTGCACACTCTAAGATAGCGTAAATTTCTACAAGAAAACAGTTGTCCATCTTCCCATTGGTGTTGAAACGTTAAGCCCCGGGCCTGTGATCCCAGCTCCAGTGATATAATTAATTTTTGAACTACCTGTGTAGAAAATTATTGATCCTGGTGGAATTATTGGCCCTCCTAATTCCCATATTTCGCGCTTAGCATTAACTACTTTATACGGTATATCTAGGTTTAAATTTTTTCCATCCAGTCTTCGTTCATTACTACTAAAGGGTGATACGGTCAAAATTTGGTCAAGGGAAAACGCGTGTAAATCGGTGAAATCGTTTATTTAAAAAATCAAATTAAATTTCTTTTTCAAGTTCAATTAGTATAAAATTCAGGAAAAATATTCAGTTAGGCTTCCGCTTTTCCAAATCCGAATTGCCGGGCCTTACGCTTGACCCCTGCCATCAGATTTTGTACAACCACCTTGTCCACATTCTTCGCCGCAGAAAGCCAGTTTGCCTTGAACTGCTGCTCGCCCTTAGCAGTTTTTTTGGTCTTCTTTAGGTTCCGCTTGACAATAGCCCAGTATTTCTCAATTGGGCGGAGCTCTGGCGTGTTGGGAGGGTTCTTGTCCTTGGGAACCACCTGCACGTTGTTGGCGGCGTACCACTCCATGGCCTTTTTACCGTAATGGCAAGATGCCAAATCCGGCCAAAACAGTACGGAACAACCGTGTTTCTTCAGGAAAGGCAGCAGACGTTTATTCAAACACTCTTTCACGTAAATTTCTTGGTTGACAGTCCCGGAAGCTATGAAAATGCTGCTTTTCAAGCCACAGGTACAGATGGCTTGCCAAACCAGATATTTCTTTGCGAACTTTGACAGTTTCATGTGCTTGAAAACATCTGCTACCTTTCCCCTTCCTTTTGCCGTATAAAACTCCTGTCCCGGAAGCTGCTTGTAGTCGGCTTTGACGTAGGTTTCGTCGTCCATTACCACGCAGTCAAACTTCGTCAGCATCGTCGTGTACAGCCTCCGGGATCGCGCTTTGGCCGTCGTATTTTGTTTATCATCGCGATTTGGAGTCACTACCTTCTTGTAAGTCGATAGTCCGGCTCGTTTTTTGGCTCGATGCACGGTTGTAGACGATACACCCAGCTTATTTGCGGCATCTCGGAGAGAGAGGTTAGGGTTTCGCTTGAAACTACCGGCAACTCTCTTTGTCGTCTCAGCGGCTTCCGGTTTTCGATTTCCCCCCAATCCAGACTTCCTGGCTGTCGACAAACGTTCCCCAAACACTTTAATTACATTTGTAACGGTTGATTTGGCAATTTTTAGCGATTTTGCCAACTTTGCGTGCGAGTAGCTCGGATTTTCGCGATGCGCGAGCAAAATTTTGATACGCTGCTCTTCTTGCTTGGACGGCATTTTGACAACTGAAGAGTGAATTCCAAAATCAAAATAGGAGCAACATTCTACACACACACACACCTTCAAAATGAGGGGTGTTCAGGTTTTTTAAATGCAAAATTGAAAGAAATACGTCAAGTTGATATTGACCAAATTTTGACCGTATAACCCTTTAATGGATTAATGAGAAAATCTTTCAGTATACTAAGGTGCCCTGAAAGATTGCCTTCAAGATAGACGTTTGTTCTGCGTAGCCTTAGTGCACTCTTTCCACCTTGCATTTTCACGTATTGATGCAGTGGGAGCATATTGAG